TTGAGAGAGAAGAAAAGTCAGAGGAGCGGTGTCAACAAAATCTCAGAGCGCACAGGGAAGAGTGAATGAACTAGAAGCCAGTAGAGTACCGGGAATAACCAGCAGTTGGGATTCTGGTCCCCTCCTGCAGAAGTGGGCCCACCCCTTAAAGCGTTGACTCGCGTTCCTCACTTCTAAGCCAGGCAGGCTTAGGTCTTCCTGGACTACCTGGAATGTCTTGTGCAGATCAAGTGAAGTGATTGTGTAAAACACTGATGACGGAATAGACCTTTATTGGTCCAAAGCTTTGTTGGTACCTTTATCTTTCTGCCTTTTATTATGTTTATTTCTTTAAACATCTCCCCGGCTGAGCAGTGAACTCTTTGAGGGCAGGAATTATATCTTATTTCCATTCCCCAGAGTCCCTAGCTTGCTTATAAGTATTTATTTGGTGAGTTTCCATAATATGAGCTTCTGGGCAAAGGGGGAAATCCCCTTGTCCTATCTGTGCCTATTGGGGGAACAAATTAAGACCAAACAGATTGGTGAAGAACAAAAGCCAAATCTAAGGACACGTGTATGAAGAATTTACATGGCTGTAAATTCTAAAGGAAGATGGGGCAAGCCGGTTATACAGCAGACCTGGGACCTCATGCAGAGGCAGGGAGACTTCAGAGGCCAAGGAAGGGCTAGTCCCGCCCTCTCCCTCCGAGAGTGAGGATGGGATCCTGATAAACCTGTGTCTGGTTTGTGTTGTTTCGGAAACAGCGTTCCCCTAGTCATGAAAGGAGGAACAGTGAGTCGTCCTCCGTCCGGAGCAGAGGCACGGACAGAGAGAGCTCCTCCCGCCTCCAGGGTGTTCGCTGCTCTTAACTGCAGCTGTACGGAAGGGCACAGTGTCTGACCAGCCACGCTGACCTTGGGCCCACTCCCAGGTGACCCGTGCTGGAAGAGGTAGGCTCTGGGCATGTTGAAAATAAGCGGGCTGATTCTGGGGAAGCCAGAGCCCCACAGTTCATAAGGAACAACCTATTCTTAAAATCCCTGCGAATGTAGATCTGTATGTTAAGTGAAAGAAATGAAGGTTGTAAGTGTGTAGTCTGAGTCAGAAGCTGTGAGCAATAGCTTGATTCTGGAGCTGGCAGGTTGTTTGCAGTCTGCATTCCTCAGGGAGCAAATCTCCCAGCACGTCCAACCTTGACATTTCTCTCCCACTCTGAAATACTTCGTAAGGGACAACTCAATGTCACGCTTTCTAAGGAAGCACAGCAGGTCTCAAGAGCCGAACAACAAGCAGAAGTTAAGTCCAAGTGAGCGAACTTTCATCCTCTCAATAAATCCCGTCAGAGTTGCTAAAGCTACTGGAAGATGCCACTATTGGGTTTCATTTGCACCCAGTTTTGTTCTTGCAAATTGTGTGCATGGAAGCCCTTCTCTATGACTTGAGCTATTGATGTGAAGATCCACTGCTTTGATGCATAGGAAACAGTATGAGTCTAATTATGTCTGCAAACTTTCTTTGGAAGATGGATGGATGGGTGGATGGATGGATGATTTTATTTCTTTACATTGGATTAGATACTTTTGATATTTAAATAGAACATTATATACCCTTATTAGAAAACTAAAGCTTATCATTTTGCTGATTACTTATGTTTTCAATGATGCCTTTAAAATCCATTATATCAGGCCCTTCCTGGCAGTGCAACGGGGTAAAGCACAGCACTATGAAGCTAGATGAAGCCACTTCACAAGTTCGATCCCCAGCCAGGGAGGTGACCCACAGGGCCCAGCAGACCTCTCCTGACCCGCCTACTGCTCCCCTCAGCAGTGTACTTCATCCATCTGCTTATTCTGCACCCCACTCTGTCTCTGGTGAATTCTCTTGCCACCCCTGCACCTCTGGCCTGTACCCCAGCTCTGTGTGCACAAATAAATAAATCTTTCTTTAAAAAATCCATTATATCATTTGTTCACTTTTGTGTCTTAAGCTAAATTGACAAACAGACATATTTAATGTGAAGTCAAACAGTAAATACTTAAAGTGACATTGGAGTAATTTGGGACACTGTCTAATTAATGATGATTTAGAAAAGAGTCATTAGTATAAGAAGAGTTTCTGTTGTGACTTGCCACTTGGGAATGCTACTGAATTATGAATGAATGAGACTGAGTTCCAAGGGTAATTGCAATTAATTTTTAATAGGAGTTTGCTATAGTTTTTTACCTAGGGATTGGGGAATAGTGGTTTGAATTATTTTCCAATTTTTTGCCCTGACATGTAAAATTATGGCTTCGCTGTTTAAATAATAATGTATCCTGCAAAGAGGGGTGCTGGAGGAAATGGAAGTGGGGAAAAGGTGGGAGAAAAGGAGGGAGGGAGGAAGAAAGGAGGAAAGCAGTAACATGGGGAAGCTGGTCGCTCGTTTACTTTTGAAAACGTATTAGCTTTTTAGAGATCTAGGTTACTATTTCCTAAGTTAAAGTTTTTAATGTACGTTTTTTAAAGATTTATTTATTTATGTGCACAAAACTGGGGCACAGACCAGAGATGCGGGGGTTGAGAGGATTCACCAGGGACAGAGTGCGGAGCAGAACAGGCGGATGTACTGAAATGCACTGCTGAGGGGAGCAGCAAGTGGGCCAGGAGAGGTCTGCTACGCAATGTGGGTCGGCTCCCTGGCTGGGGATCGAACTCATGCTGCAGTGGCTGCAGTAGCTTCATAGTGCTGCCCTTTAACCCACTGTGCCACCAGGGAGGGCCCTTAATTTACTTTCTTTTTTAAAGATTTATTTTGTTCATGCATACAGAACTGGGGTACAGACCAGAGGTGCAGGAGCGGCAAGAGGCTTCACCAGAGACAGAGTGGGGAGCAGATCGGCGAAGTACACTGCTGAGGGGAGCAGCGGGCGGGTCAGGAGAGGTCTGCCTGCCATGTGGTCACCTCCAGGGCAGGTGGGAATCCAACTCATGCTGAAGTGCCTTTAACTTCTTAGTGCTGCACTGTAACCCGCTGCACACCCAGGGAGGGCCTAATTTTCTTTTTAATTGCTAACTGGTGAGTAGTTCACTGCCAGTACTTTCTATACAATAGGCAATAATGCTGAACTTAAAAATAATTACACTATTGATTATTATAATTAAAATATTTCTTCTATTATATCCTACTACAAAAGATTGCTGTGGTGTAATTGATTAGATTAGCTGATTTGGGGCATGTGTATTAATATTGTATTTATTGTAATAGTTAAAAAATAGTTTAGTGTGATTTATACCATTCACATGAACCAGAAGTCTTAATACCACCATGGACATTTCTAATTCTGATTCTTCTTCCCTGTTGTTATCCTTAATCACCAGCCCAATGGATTAGTCTTTTTGAAAATTTTCTGCTTTGTATGACAGAAAGTTTTGTTTATCGAATATTTGAAAAACATTTTTGAACAAACATTTTCGTTTTGCTATTATTAACTTGCTGTCCCTTCTTTCCAGAAGTGCCCCTAGTCCTGGTATTAAAAGTAGCACCTGCCAAGTTGTCTAAATAAAGGTTATTCAACACTTTTTCCTAGCTTATTTGAAATCATATTTCCCAGAATTAAAAAATGTATCCTGTTTCTTCATATAGAAACCAGTATGATCATACCACTGGAAAGATATGTCACTGTGTATTTCAACTTTATATATGACACTCACAGCTGTCTGATAGTTTATTGTTGTTATCACCACCACCATTCCTGTCACCACCACCCACCACCATACCATCACCATCACCACCATCATCACTGCCATCACTGCACCACCATCACCATCACCACCATTATCACACTGTCACCACCATCATCACACCACCATCACCATCACCACCATCATCCATCATCACCGCCATCACTGCATCACCACCATCATCACCACCATCATCACACCGTCACCACCATCATCACCATCATCACCACACCATTACAACCGCCATCACCACCATCATCACCACACCACCACCATCATCCACTACCACCACCAGAGACTTTGAAAACAGAAAGTCTATGGAATGAACATTAATGTTTAGCTAAATAAACAAATGAACTAGAAAAAATAATCCTAGTACATGGAAGTCACGTAATATAACAATCCTAAGCTGGTGTATGTTTGGGGTTTTTCTCCACCCTCTCACTGCTGAAAAGACTTAAATCTCAGCATGCCTACCTGTAAAGTAAACGTGTGGTATGAGCACGCTGGGGGCGGCTCCCTCAACCTGCCCCCTCTCTCCCCTGGTAGTGCCCATCTCTCTCGGGTGTGGGTTGCTCACGCTAGACTGGAACACCAGCAGGGCTGCTTCGTCTGGAGAGCGCACCTCAAGTAAGCGGCTTGTCATATACTTGTTCTGTTTCCCCGAAATGCCAGGTAGAGAGCGTGAAAGTCAAAACAGCTCCCTCAGCTGCTCACTTCCCTGAGCGCTGTCCCTGAGCATGAAGCGAGGTGTGTGCTGGGCCCTCGGAACAGCAAGACAGGCCGGACGGCACTCTCCTTCCGGAGACTTCCCGCTCGGGGCTGGCAGGACAGTGGAGACTGACTTGTCTTTCTGTTTGTTTTATTTCGTTTTGTTTCCTGACACGTTGAACACTTGATGAGCAGAGTAGGGTCGTCTCGTGTGCAGTACGCACACGCTGAATTTTACGCATGTCTAAGTAGGCATGGGAGCGTGTGAGCACGTGTGTGCGCGCCACGCCCTGGCGGGGGCTGGGGCTGGCGTGTGTCTGGGCGCATTGGCGTTCTCCGAAGAAATGAGAGAAAGCCCAGTTTGTAGTACCCTTGGAATGGGAGCAAGTCGCCCAGGGGAAGGAGCCCTTAAGTGGCTTAGGAGCTAGTGTCCCAGGCCTGTCTCACCTCTCCCAACCGTTAACACTGTCGCCGACAGCCTTTCCCCGCAGGAGCCGGGGAGCCCCACGGGGCGCACGCGGGAGCGGGGGAGCCCCACAGGGTGCACGCGGGAGCCGGGGAGCCCCACCAGGCACACGCGGGAGCCGGGGAGCCCCACCGGGCGCAAGCGGGAGCCGGGGAGCACCATCCCAGGTTCCTCCCAAGCCTCTCCAGCAGTGCAAACCTGACAGCGGGGCTCCAGCAAGGACAGTCGCCTTTCACTTGCAGCCCGGCGGAGAGGCCTGGGTCTCCGCCAGCCGACTGGCAGCGCTGTCCCTGTGGCTCACCTGGCCCAGGGCATCACCTGCCCCGACAGCAGGGGCCGCGTGAGGCAGGAAGCTGCTCACCCTTTGGGACCCGGCCTTGGAATCAGGAAACAGCCTTTCTCAGCAGCCGCTGGGGTTCTCACTGGTCAGCACCGGGTCAAACGGACATCCCTAGCAGTGGGGTGAAGAGGAGTGGGGTCCCCACCAGGTCTAGCAAATCCTGAGGGGCAGGGGTGCCAAGGCATGACAGGCCCCTCCCTGTGTGCTGGGCCAGTTACTGTAGGAGGAGGAGGTGGGAGGCAGGTGTGCGGCAAGAGCAGCGACTGCCAGAACATTCCTCGGAAGGCAAACGTTGCCCCGCCAAGGCTATTATCTCTTACGTGACCGAGGTCATCGTTGGTGCAAATGCTAATTTTGTCTAATTCTAGACAAAAATCGCCCCAGGAGCCTCGGAGCC